GCGCCCGGGGAGCAGTGTGTAGGGACGGTACCTTGCTCAGGGGTACCTCAGGGTAGCCGTTCAGTGGATTCAAACCCCCGACCTTCCAATCATGGGGCGGCCACTGTACCTACTGAGCTACCTGCTAATTAGCCCGCTGATTTAACACATGCCTGCTCGTCGTGCAGCTTTGAATTTCTTGAAGAACTATATCTTTTTTAAATTTATTTCCCATGACATAAAAATAGGTATGTGGTGTTAAGCAAGTGTTAAAAACAGTAGTTGAGATAAGTCTGGATAAACATTATGTTACTTGACAGTACTCAGGATTCTGCTGTACTCACCTGATGTCATCCTCATTGGCAAAGATAATGACTACTCGAGCATTGGGGTTCTCACTCAGCCTCCGGATAATCTTGTCAAACTCTCCAGATCTTGGTTCACGTGGTATTTTCACTGACTGGGAAATGCACAAACCACCTGATTGGGGGGGAAAAAAACAAACAAACAAAACAAAAACAATGTTTCCAAATGTTTCATTAGGAGAACATGTTTACGATGCAATTTAACTCAAATTATGCCTTTGTCTTCTTTTAACCCATATCTTTTTTTCAATCTTCTGGACTTTTTTTTATGATAAATGCACTATTAAATGTGCACTGGTGCAATATTTCACGGAATGAGGGATGCAAGGCATTAAAAAAAGGTTTTCCTTGGACAAAAAGAAGGCATTTTGGAGACGGGACTAACCATCAATTCAGGTTATGATTCTGACAGTGAGACCAGGGGGCAGTAGCATTTGCTACTACATACATTTTCTAACTGGGAACTGTTTCCTTTTGTTCTTGCATTTTTTTATATTACATGGATTGTTTCAATTTAAAAAAAAAATGGTACTTGTCCCAGGATTGTACCACGTTTGAAAGGGAAGTAGAAAAAAAGAAACAGAAATGAAATACGTTACTTCAATTTCCAATTCAGTTAGTCAGATAATTGTTTCGGGGTAATATACAAGATTGTCCTGCGATATTGATTAGTTATCTATTTAGATAATGACCAACAGCAACTAGCAAATTCCGTCCGTTATATTTTAGGCATAGTGAAGCGGAAAACTGAAACGCTGTTTCAAAATTGGATGCAGTATTGAAATTTGCATCGCTGACTCTTTGAAGCTAATAATTTGAAAAATCCCATTAGCTTATTGAAGTTTTGGCCAATTTGGCCTTTATTTTATCCTAGAAAACAACAGTTTTAATAAAAAAGTTTTAACCACTGAATACATTTCAAGGGTAGAAATTTTGCAGTAAATTTCAAACTCTTTTTACTCCTCATTTATTTACTTTTATTTAAAAAATGTGGACTGTCTTGGTTCTACGTAAAACAAGATAACTGTAATGACACAGTACATGATGCTCTAACGGTTGAATGACAGTGCAGCTGCTTAGTGCTGTGCAGGTGGAAGGATTATTCTTTTACCACTTGGACACATACAAATAGTTTAATGAAATTTCCCCTAATAAAGGTATCTTATCTTAACATTCAACTGGTGACAATTTGTTCCTGTGTAATTTGGTGATTTTCACGTGTTCAATGCACAAAGATTTTTTTCTATCCTTGGCTCAACTCTCTCATGCTGGTGTACACCCTGTCATCAATTTTTTTTAATGTAATTTTTTGACAGGTTACCAGAGTGACAGATAACCACTTATTGTCACACCAACATTTTTTTTAGAATCACTAATCAACCTAATAAAGAGGCCTTTCTCAGATTCAGACCTTCTTGCTATGAGACGTTCAGTCTCACAGCAGATTTAAAACATGTAACTAGACTATCACATTAGTTTGGCTTTCCCTTTCCTAGTTTATTCCATGGTAAATGGACTATAATATAATGTTTTTTTACTCCGACAGCACTTGAAACGCTTTCTGCACTACAAGCTGCAATCACAGACACATGCACACATGCAAACCCAAATGGATGAATAAAGCACTACTTGTGTTTCTTTAGCTTGCCCGAAGACACTTTAACATAAATTATAGATGTAGAAACTGTAGATCAAACCACTAACCTTCTTAACAGCAAACAACACACTCTAACTTCTGAGCCACCAAAAAAAAAAAAAAAAAGAAACGCAAAGAAAAGAGATTTATGAGATTAGAATTGTGTATTAACTGAAGACTGTAAAGGGTGAATCCATTTCATCAGCAGCCATGATGAAATTGCAACAATGTGGGAATGGCTGATGGGTTTTGCCAAGGAAATTATCATGAAAGAATATATGTAGCAATTTATAGCTACAGCAATTCTCCATGGATCAATTTAAAGAGCATCCACACCTTCTTACATTCTATTGAACACAAATCTAAAGGCAAGAGGGGATGTCCCCTGGTTACCAACAAGCTAAGGCTGTTTAACTCCCAATGCAACATTTCAGGATAACTGTTTTGTCACCCTGCCAAAATGCCACAGAGAATATGCACATGCTAATGAATTTCCCTTTCGGGACCCAGTACAAAGCCCGCCCAATGAGCAATCAATGCAGAAATAATACCCCCCCTAGTCCAGTTCATGGCAGTCATACTCACACCATAAAACAAAACCTGCCCCTGCTCAGTTACTAATAGGTTGTGAAAGTGGAAATATCAGTAAAAAATAGAGGATGCCACGAAATGAATGACGTTGGGCTACTTGACTCATGGTTACAAAAAGTCACATTTGGTTAAGTCAAACGGGAGATCAGTCAGTGGCTTGCACTATTGTTTTATTTTATCCTGGAGGAAATATAACAATGCTGTTCTACTGAAACCTTTTCTTGTTTTTCATGTATAGATTTCTGCTGGTCATGCATGTCATGAGTGCAACACAGCAGTTCCGGCGTACATTTAAATTCCCTTTTCAGTAAATGGATTAGAAGTTCTTTTACTGGAGAAACAGATTCATCCTGTTGTGTGCACTGGTTGATGTCTTGTTGTTAAGTAATGTTTCCTTCTGCACTCAAGCAATAGTTCAATCAAATCTGAACATCTAATTTACTTGTTTTTACATGCCAAAAAAGCACAACTTGAATATCACAATTAACCGAGTCATCATTTAGTAATCTGGAATTTCAAAGCTTCCAAAGCAGATGGCATTAGACTCCACATCATCATAACACTCCTAATTTATATTTTAGGCAGGTGAAGTTAAGTTTATTTATTTTACGCTTTGGCTTTTGAGCACGTTGTAAGGTAGGTTTCTCTGTGAAGAGTAATGATTACTCAGGCAAGGTGGCATAGGCATGTTTTCAAAGCCATCTGTTTGCTGTCTGGTGTTGCAAGATTACACAACAAACTACTTTATCAAGCCAATAAAACTTTGTGAGCAGTTAGAGCACACTGCTCACAAAGTGATCTGGAAGACTTTCTTTAAACACGTTTCACGTAGTTGTTCAATATTGATTATAGTAGCGAGCAATACTGGCTGTTCTGTTGTTGCCAAAATCTGATGTGAAGTTATGATATTGTAATATTTCTGAAAATGTCTTCTCAGTAAGCCTTGTTAACCAAACTGTCATCAGTCTGTTTAGTCAGTATAACTGCTGTCCTAGAAGTAAATCATGTAGTTAACCACTGGGCAAGGTTAGTGTACTAGCCTGAATAAAAGGGCGAGTTCATTATGTAATAGTGGAGTGACAGATCTGTGTTTAGATGTGTTTAAGGAGAGGATTTGGAGTTTGTAGTAATGTTGACAGGTTGTCAGTCCATTTTGGTCCATTTATAGTTTGTCTTTAAGAGTAGGTTTTCACTAAAAGTAGTTAGTGTTCTGAATCTGCAGGAGATTCAGATGGCTCCTGCTATGTATTTTACTGTCATGGAGGAAATGCATTCTTTATGAGCATGAAGAAACCTGACTGTTGCCGATGATGAGCTCTGTCCTCAGTTTTAACAAAAAGACAGAGAGTCAGAGTTACACTATGCAATTTTAAAAACTGAAATGGCATTGCTGGCTTCAATCAGTACTGAAAGTAGTGAACCATGAACCTCTAATGGTTATTCACAGTCTCTCTTTGTGCTTCCCATCCTGTAGTTTTAATCATGGATCTACAAAGGTTAATGCGTGTAAATCTAGGGTTGTTTTAGTGAACGGTAAGTGGAATCAAATATTTAGAAGTATGTAGGAAAGGTTGTACAGTATGTTATAAGTCATGATATTTACGTATCTTTTTACAAAATAAAAGCTCCTGACGGTTCAGTCTTCGATTAAAGTGAAACAGAGGTTTATCTGCGTAACTCGCTGTCGTTACACTCACATCACATGGGAAATTTTGCAGCAGCTCGGCTCTCAGAGACTCTATCAATCATTAGACTCTATGTCTTTGCCTCACTGGTACTTCAGTCCCCCATTCCCACAACATCTGCTATATCGAAGCAGAGCACTCATCCCTTCCTTTTCTTCTCTTCTCACATCACAGCAGCAGGCTGCAGCGTTGTTTAACTTGCACAGAGAATACCAGAAGGACCGGACGTGCACAAAACTGGATCCTCCACGGGGCCACTGGTGTAACTCTGTTAGCGCTAGGGTACACATGGCAGTTTATTTTACCGCTGATTTATCTATGCATTTGATTTTTTTCCTCTTTATTTTTCTTTTTACTACTGTTATATAACATGACTAAAGATATGGTTATTTGACTAATGGACATTAGTCAAATAACCATATCTTTAGTCATGGCTCAAATCCTAAGACGGAAGCAGCCACTGAGCAAGATACTTTTTTTTATTTTCCAAAAAGACTATAGACTAATGCAGAGAAATATATTTATATATAAATATATGATTCAGCTATGCCAGGCAGTTCATGAATGGCATTTTTACACAACCTAAGTGGCTTTTAATTGGCCTAATTATAGGTCTTGCTTATTGCAAATTTTATATTAATATTATTAAATTAGACCAGTCTCTACAAGAATAAGATTTTTCAATAAACTACTCGCCTGATTCCATCTTGCTATCAGACAGGATGCAGTTAGAGGGATGCCTTGAAGGACTGGCCCCTTCTTATCTGTACACCACTTTTCAACACTTTCCTTAAACTCAGCAAGCTGACCAACAACATGCAGAGACAGTTATGAAATAACTAAATGCAACCGTAGAGTAATCCTATGAAAACGATGAAATGTACTTCTCCAGGTACATATTGAATTATAGTTACATTTTATTGTTGGCTACATTAAAACTACCTGTACAATAACAATCAGTGAAAGAGCGAAAGAGACTGAACTGCTGGGTTTCAACACCAAACACTGACCTTCAGTGTTGTAACTGTCCTGATGAATCTTCAAATTTTCAAATACACGCCAGATGCAATGCTCCTACTTTTGATGCAGCTACTGTGAAAACCTTCAAGAGCTGTATGTGTTTCCTAACACTTATCCTATACAATTCTCAACTTCTGAGCCAAATTGAAAAATCACCTCTAAAAATATCCGTTGCTCAGGAGA